GTCCCACCATGGCGTGTTGTAAAAAAATGCATTATGGGAGAAAAAATGTGGATCGAACGGAGGCTTTAATTAAAAAAGAGCCAGCCCAATTAAAAGAAAAAAATAATAATAAAAAAGAAGAGAACAATTCCGCAACATGTCTCGTCTATAGGTGGCATACAAGACGAGGATGCTTGGACCAACGGGACGAGCTGTCAATGAATTAGATATGGATCAGATCTGCTCAAATTTGATCTGATTCGTTAAGAATAATTATCTGATTCGATCCAATAATCCAATGAATATTTGATTGTTAAATCCATATCCGGTTTGTTATGTCAGATATCCGACCCTTCAACCGAAAAAATGGGAACCAATCTCTAAACTAGTCCGTTCTTCATATATTAACCAAACGATATGAAATTTTTTTCCAAAAAATATTTTAATTATATTGATGGGCTCATCTCTTAATACTATAGTAGAAGGCTCAAATAATTTTTATTCAAGTGATGCTCCTTTAGCTCATTTTTAAAGGAGTCTCGTCTTAGAATGTTTTAGTCATCTTCCAATGTGGGAAATTTGTTTTTTGAAGGATATACCTTTCCCTCCAATGTTTTAGTGATCTTTCAATGTGTGATACTAGTCAATTGTCAATTCTAAGTGTTCACCAGTTTACTTTATTGTTTTCATTAAAAATCATAGTCTCAACAGGATTATAATCACAAATAATATCAATTTGAACAATGTAACTTATTTTGGACATACTAATTGTTAGTTTTTGATGTTTTAAAACAAATTATTATAGTTATTTTTATCTTATTGTAATTAATAAAAAATTAATCTCTTCATATATTTCGATTAACAATATTCTAATATTATTTATTATTTGAAAATTATGTGTAAAGTATAATATAAGTTTCAAAATGGAAAAAATTATGCTTAATAAATTATGATATAATAAATAAAATAAATCATGTTATTATAATAAATCAGATCGGATCGACCTATATCCATATTTGCTCCATTTAGTTAACGGATTATTGAATTCAGATCTTAATCGGATTATCGGATTGAGACTCTAAATCCATCTCCCATTAAATTTATTGGATTCGGATTAAAATTCAATCCGTTGACAGTCCTAAATGGGACCCATTTTCACAATGTCATCGATAGCATTGTTGATATTTAAACACGAGTGCAAGGGTAGTTTTAGTAACACGTATTGTTGAGGCATCGTGGCCATTTTGGTTGGCTCGGGATATCTTTGTGCTTTATGGCCCGTCCCTATTATTGGTCTATTCCAATTTAAAATTGGTACATTTCTACGTTAAATTTAGGGAAAATTGCAGCAACAGTCCTTAACCTTTTCAATTTTTTGCAGACTTTACCCTAACCTTCAATTTGTGCGAGGCGAGGTCTCTAACCTTTCAGAAATTTACATTTGAAGTCCAAATGGATGGAATTCGTCCATTTCTCCATTAGTTGACTGGGAAAAAGATTTCGGCCATGTTATTAATTATTTCTATAAGGGTAAATTGGTAACTCTATCTCTTCCAATATAAAAACAATTAAAATAATAATTAACTAAAAAACAAAAACCATCATCTTCCTCAACTACCCCATCCCCCTTCAAACCCTACCCTGGCTACCCATCTCCACCCAAATCGGTCGGCCCTCATCAATTCCACAACCTCCACCACCTCGGCTACCCTCTTATTCACTACTAAATGGAACCAAAATAAGAAATCAAAATTGATGCAAGCACCACTTCCCCTTGAAATCGAAACCAGCACCACCTCCGAACTGGGGTACTTATAGCGACAAAGAGGCATACAATCAGAACTATTCACAGATTAATCGAACCTCAAATTATCAAAATACAAACTATCAAAATATTTGAAATCTTGATGATTTTTGATAAGTCAACGGAGAGAAACGCAAGGTTTTCTTCTTATCGGTACAGAGGTTGACCCAGTTAAACAATTTTGAATTCAGGAAGATCTGTGTCGGTGCCGTTTCTTACGTTGAATCGTGTGTATAAAGAGTAGGACTCCTCTGTAGGATATTATAATCATTGTTACGACAAACGAATTTGGGCGGAGATGGGTAGCCGGGGTTGGGTTTTGGGGTAGGGTAGGGTTTTGCAGGGGGATGGGGTAGTTGTGGAAGATGATGGTTTTTGTTTTTAGTTAATTATTATTTTAATTGTTTTTATATTTGAAGAGATAAAGTTACCAATTTACTCTTATAGAAATAATTAATAATGTGGTCAAAATCTTTTTCTTGGTCAAACTAACAGAGGAATGGATGGATTACATATATTTGGACTTCAAATGCACATTTTTGAAAGGTTAGGGACCTCGGCTTGCACAAATTGAAGGTTAGGGTAAAGTCTGCAAAAATTGAAAAGGTTAGGGACTGTTGCAGCAATTTTTCCTTAATTTTATTCTTCAAATATTTGTCGAGCTTGTGATGTTCGTGGATTAGTATGCTGAAATTTTTTACGTGTATCGAAAAGCGAAATAATTGTATTACACAACGGTAAAAAAAATTTGATTTATCGCTTGGGACGATGTGAAATGTGTTCAAATTGTTCAACGTCGGTTTTGCTCGAATTAAATTATTTGCAGGCTTTTTTCCTTGGTCATTTTTTTCCTTATTTCTGTCGGTAACGATTGGCAGTATGTGATTCACGTGTGCTATAGCTTTGACATCAATTGTGGAAATGGCAGCCATTGACTATTCAAACAATTTCACATGGGTTAGCTCATGGTCCACTATAAAATGACAAAAGGGTATAATGGGAAAGGTTGTTTCATATATCACATATGAAAGAGGCATAATAATGCAGAGGTCCCACCATGATGTGGTGTAAAAAATGCATTATGGGAGATAAAATGTGGAACGAACGGAGGCTTTCATTAAAAAAGAGCCAGCCCAATTAAAAGTAAAAAAATAATAATAAAAAAGACAAGAACAATTCGGCAACATGTCTCGTCTATAGGTGGCATACAAGACGAGGATGCTTGGACCAACTGGAATAGAGCTATCAATGGATTGGATATGGATTGGATCTGCTCAAATTCGATCTGATTCGTTAAGAATAATTATCTAATCTGATCTGATAATCCAATGAATATTTGATTGTTAAATCCATATCTGGTTTGTTATGTTGTCGAATATCCGATCCTTCAACCGAAAAAAGGGAACCGACCTCTAAACTGGTCCGGTCTTCATATATTAACCGAACGATATGAACTTTTTTTCCAAAAAAATATTTTAATTATCTTGATGGGCTCATCTCTTTATATTATAGTAGAAGGCTTAAATATTTTTTATTCAAGTGATGCTCCTTTAGCTCATTTTTAAAGGAGTCTCGTCTTAAAATGTTTTAGTGATCTTCCAATGTGGGAAATTAGTTTTTTAAAGGATATACTTTTCCCTCCATTGTTTTAGTGATCTTTCAATGTGGGACACTAGTCAATCATCAATTCTATGTGTTTACTAGTTTACTTTATTGTTTTCATTATCATAGCCTCAACAAAATTATAATCACAACTAATATCAATTTGAACAATGTAAATTATTTTGGACATATTAATTGTTAGTTTTTGATGCTATAAAACAAATTATTGTAGTTATTTTTATCTTATTTAATTAATAAAAAATGAAATCTCTTCAAATATTTCAATTAACAATATTATAATATTAACTAATATTATTTATTATTTGAAAATTATGTGTAAAGTATAATATAAGTTTCGAGATTAAAAAGAATTATGCTTAATAAATTATGATATAATATATAATATATATTATGTTATTATAATAAATCGGATCGAATAGACCTATATCCATATTTGCTCCATTTAGTTAATGGATTATCGAATTCGGATCTTAATTGGATTATCGGATTGAAACTCTAAATCCATCTCCCATTAATTTTATCGGATTCGGATCAAATTTGAATTAAAATCCAAACCATTGACAACCCTAAATGGGACCCATTTTAACAATGTCACCGACAGCATTGTTGATATTTAAACATAAGTGTAGGGGTAGTTTTAGTAACACGTATTGTTGAGGCATCGTGGCCTTTTTGGTGGGCCCGGGCTATCTTTTTGCTTATGGCTCATCCCTATTATCGGCCTATTCCAATTTAAAATTGTTACGTTTGTACGTTAATTTGAGGGAAAATTACAGCAACAGTCCTTAACCTTTTCAATTTTTGCAGACGTTACCCTAACCTTCAATTTGTGCTAACCGAGGTCCCTAACCTTTCAGAAATTTGCATTTGAAGTCCAAATGGATGGAATCCGTCCATTTCTCCATTAGTTGTCCAGGAAAAAGATTTTGACTACATTATTAATTATTTCTATAATGGTAAATTGGTAACTTTATCTCTTTCAATATAAAAATAATTAAAATAATAATTAACTAAAAAACAAAAACCATCATCTTCCTCAACTACCCCATCCCCTTGCAAACCCTGCCCCAAAACCCAGCCCTGACTATCCATCTCCGCCCAAATCTGTCGGTTCCCATCAATTCCACAACCTCCACCACCTCGGCTACCCTCTTATTCACTGCTAAATGGAACCAAAATAAGAAATCAAAATTGATGTCAGCACCACTTCACCTCGAAATCAAAAACAACACCTCTTCGAACTGGGATACTTATGGCGACAAAGAAGCATACAATCAGAACTATTCACAGATGAATCAGACCTCAAATTATCAAAATACAGGCTACCAAAATATTTGAAATCTTGATGATTTCCGATGAGTCAATGGAGAGAAATGCAAGGATTTTTTCTTATTGGTACAGAGGTTGACCTAGTTAAACAATTTTGAATTCAGGAAGATCTGTGTCGGTGCCATTTCTTGCACTGAATCGTGTGTGTAAAGAGTAGGACTCCTCCGGAGGATATTATAATCATAGCTACAACGACAGACAGATTTAGGCGGAGATGGGTAGTCGCGGTTGGGTTTTGGGGTAAGCTTTGCAGGTAGAGGTGGGCATGGGTTGGGTTGGGTCGGTTTTTACCCCAACCCAACATGTTCGGTTTTATTTATATTCAACACAACCCAACCCAATTAACGATTTAAACCCAACCCAACCTGATCAAGTTCGGGTTGGGTTGGGTTAGTCGGTTTGGGCTTCGGCCCAATTAAAGTTGGATCCGATTATATTTTTGTCAATTTTAGATTTTTAAAATTTGAAATTACTTGAAAATATCTTTTTTTTTTAAATACCCATGTAAAGAATTCTTTTTGAAAAATGATGTATAAATAAGTTTAAAATTATAACATATTTTTATTTTTACAATTTTTTGAGATTTACTCATTTCATCTTCATCATCATCATCTCAATTTTTACTTTATTATCAAATAACATTTCCTTTATACATTGTGTTCATGGGAACCAATCTATATAAAAAAATGGACGTTTATAAATTATAAGTCTTTCTCATATCTCTACTATTGTGTTTATTTAATTTTTTTTTCCATCTTAAATATTAATTTTTTTTATTCATCGGGTTGGGTTAGGTTTTAAATCATAACCCAAAACCCAACCCAACCCAACCCAAACTCAAATATATTTTTCAACCCAACCCAACCCAATTGAACCTAAAAAACCAACCAAACTCGATCAAGTTAGTTTGGGTTGGTCGGGTTGAGCTGGTTGGGTTGGGTTTTTACTAGTCCTATTTGCAGGGGGATGGGGTAGTTGAGGAAGATGATGGTTTTTGTTTTTTAGTTAATTATTATTTTAATTATTTTTATATTGGAAGAGATAAAGTTACCAATTTACCCTTATAGAAAAAATTAATAATGTGGTCAAAATCTTTTTCCTGGTCAACTAACTGAGAAATGGACGGATTCCATCCATTTGGACTTCAAGTGCATATTTCAAAAAAGTTAGGGACCTCAGCTGGCACAAATTTAAGGTTAGGGTAAAGACTGCAAAAATTGAAAAGGTTAGGTACTATTGCTGCAATTTTTCCTTATTTTTATTCTTCAAATATTTGCCGAGCTTGTGACGTTCGTGGATTAGTATGCTGAAATTTTTTACCTATATCGAAAAGCGAAAGAATTGTATTACGCAACAGGAAAAAATTTTGATTTATCACTTGGGACGACGTGAAATGCGTTCAAATTGTTCAACGTCGATTTTGCTCGAATTAAATTATTTGTGGGCTTTTTTCCTTGCTCATTTTTTTCTTATTTCAGTCAGTAACGATGGGCAATATGTGATTCACGTGTGTTGTAGCTATGACATCAATTCGGGAAATGGCAGCCATTGACTATTCAAACAATTTCTCATGGGTTAGCTCGTGGCTCACTATAAAATTACAAGAGAGGTTGTTTCATATATCACATATGAAAGAGGCATAATAATGCAGAGGTCCCACCATGATGTGGTGTAAAAAATGCATTGTGGGAGAAAAAATGTGGATCGAACGGAGGCTTTAATTAAAAAAGAGCCAGCCAAATGAAAAGAAAAAAATAATAATAAAAAAGACGAGAACAATACCGCAACATGGCTCGTCTATAGGTGGCATCTAAGACGAGGATGCTTGGACAACGGGACTAGAGCTGTCAATGGATTCGATATGGATCGGATCTGTTCAAATTCGATCCGATTCGTTAAAAATAATTATCTAATCCGATCCGATATCCAACGAATATTTAATTGTTAAATCCATATCTGGTTTGTTATGTTATCAGATATCTGATCCTTCGGCCGAAAAAATGGGAACGAACCTCTAAACCGGTCCGATCTTCATATATTAATCGAACGATATGAACTTTTTTTCCAAAAAATATTTTTTAATTATCTTGATGGGCTCATCTCTTAATATTATACTAGAAGGCTCAAATAATTTTTATTCAAGTCATGCTCCTTTAGCTCATTTTTAAAGGAGTCTTCTCTTAGAATGTTTTAGCGATCTTTCAAGGTGGGATATTAGTTTTCTGAAGGATATACTCTTTCTCCATTGATTTATTGATCTTTCAATGTGGGATACTAGCCAATTGTCAATTCTAAGTGTTTACTTTATTGTATTTATTAAAAATCATAGTCTCAACAAGATTGTAATGACAAATAATATCAATTTGAACAATGTAACTTATTTTGGACATATTAATTGTTAGTTATTGATGTTATAAAACAAATTATTATAGTTATTTTTATCTTATTTTAATTAATAAAAAAATTAAATCTCTTCAAATCTTTCAAATAACAATATTATAATATTATCTATTATTATTTATTATTTGAAAATTATGTGTAAAGTATAATATAAGTTTCAAAATGGAAAAAATTTATGCTTAATAAATTATGATATAAAATATAAAATATATCATGTTATTAAAATAAATCAGATCGGATTGACCTATATCCATATTTACTCCATTTAGTTAACGAATTATCGAATTCGTATCTTAATCGGATTATCGGATTGAGACTCTAAATCCATCTTCTATTAAATAAATTGGTTTCGGATAAAAATCCAATCCATTGACAGCCCTAAACGGGACCCATTTTCACAATATCACTGACAGCATTGTTGATATTTAAACATGAGTGCAAGGTTAGTTTTAGTTACACGTATTGTGAGGCATCGTGGCCTTTTTGGTGGGCTCGGGCTATCTTTTTGCTTTATGGCCCATCCCTATTATCGGCCTATTCCAATTTAAAATTGTTACATTTGTACGTCAGTTTAAGGGAAAATTACAGCAACAGTCATTAACCTTTTCAATTTTTGCAGACTTTACCCTAACCTTCAATTTGTGCCAGCCGAGATTCCTAACCTTTCAAAAATTTGCATTTGAAGTCCAAATGGATGGAATCCATCCATTTCTCCATTAGTTGACCAGGAAATAGATTTTGGCCACATTATTAATTATTTCTATAAGGGTAAATTGTTAACTTTATCTCTTCCAATATAAAAGTAATTAAAATAATAATTAACTGAAAAACAAAAACCATCATCTTCCTCAACTACCCCATTCTCATGCAAACCCTACCCCAAAACCCAACCCTGGCTACCCATCTCCACCCAAATCTGTCGGCCCTCACCAAATTTAAGGTTAGGGTAAAGTTTGCAAAAATCTAAAAGGTTAGGGACTATTGCTGCAATTTTTCCTTAATTTTATTCTCCAATTATTTGTCGAGCTTGTGACTTTCGTGGATTAGTAAACTGAAATTTTTTACGTGTATCGAAAAGTGAAAGAATTGTATTACACAACGGGAAAAAAATTTTGATTTATCGCTTGGAAAGACGTGAAATGCGTTCAAATTGTTCAACGTCGGTTTTGCTCGAATTAAATTATTTGTTAGCTTTTTTCCTTGCTCATTTTTTTCTTATTTCAGTCGGTAACGATGGGAAATAAGTGATTCACGTGTGCTGTAGCTGTGACATCAATTCGAGAAATGGCAGCCATTGACTATTCAAACAATTTCACATGGGTTAGCTCGTGGCCCACTATAAAATGACAAAAGGGTATAATGGGAAAGGTTGTTTCATAAATCACATATGAAAGAGGCATAATAATGTAGAGGTCCCACCATGATGTGGTGTAAAAAATGCACTGTGGGAGAAAAAATGCGGATCGAACGGAGGCTTTAATTAAAAAAGAGCCAGCCCAACTAAAAGAAAAAAATAATAATAAAAAAGACGAGAACTATTCCACAACATGGCTCGTCTATAGGTGGCATACAAGATAAGGATGCTTGGACCAATGGGACTACAGCTGTCAATGGATTGGATATGGATCGGATCTGTTCAAATTCGATCCGATTCGTTAAGAAAAATTATCTAATCCGATAATCCAACGAATATTTGATTATTAAATCAATATCCAGTTTGTTGTGTTATTCGATATCCGATTCGATTATCCGATCCTTCAACCAAAAAAATGGAAATAGACCTCTAAGTCGGTCCAGTCTTCATTTATTAACCGAGCGATATGAATAGTTTTTCCAAAAAATATTTTAATTATCTTTATGGGCTCATCCCTTAATATTATACTAGAAGGCTCAAATAATTTTTATTTAGGTGATGCTCCTTTAGCTCATTTTTAAAGGAGTCACCTCTTAGAATGTTTTAGTGATCTTCCAAGGTAGGATATTAGTTTTTTGAAGGATATATTTTTTCTCCAATGCTTTTATGATCTTTCAATGTGGGATACTAGTCAATTGTCAATTCTATGTGTTTACTAGTTTACTTTATTGTTTTCATTAAAAATCATAGCCTCAACAAGATTATAATCACAAATAATATCAATTTGAACAATGTAAATTATTTTGGACATATTAATTGTTAGTTTTTGATGTTATAAAACAAATTATTATAGTTATTTTTATCTTATCTTAATTAATAAGAAAATTAAATCTCTTCAAATATTTCAATTAACAATATTCTAACATTATTTATTATTTGAAAATTATGTGTAAAGTATAATCTAAGTTTCAAAATGGAAAAAAATTATGCTTAATAAATTATGATATAATATATAAAATGTATTATGTTATTATAACAAATCGGATCAGACGACTTATATCAATATTTGCTCCATTTAATTAACGGATTGCCGCATTTGGATCTTAATCGGATTATCGGATTGAGACTCTAAATCCATCTCCCATTAATTTTATCAGATTCGGATCGATTTCGGATTAAAATCCAATCCATTGACAGACCTAAATGGGACCCATTTTAACAATGTCACCAACAGCATTGTTGATGTTTAAACATGAGTGCAGGGGTAGTTTTAGCAACACGTATTGTTGAGGCATCGTGGCCTTTTTGGTGGGCTCGGGCTATCTTTTTGCTTTATGGCCCGTTCCTATTATCGGCCTATTCCAATTTAAAATTGTTACGTTTGTAAGTTAATTTTATTCTTCAAATATTTGTCGAGCCTGTGATGTTCGTGGATTAGTATGCTGAAATTTTTTACGTGTATCGAAAAGTGAAAGAATTGTATTACACAACAGGAAAAAAATTGATTTATCGCTTGGGACGACGTCAAATGCATTCAAATTGTTCAACGTCTGTTTTGCTCGAATTAAATTATTCGCGGGCCTATTTCCTTGGTCATTTTTTTTTCTTATTTCTGTCGGTAACTATGGGCAGTATGTGATTCACGTGTGTTGTAGCTTCGACATCAATTAGGGAAATGGCAGCCTTTGACTATTCAAACAATTTCACATGCGTTAGCTTGTGATTCACTATAAAATGTCAAAAGGGTATAATGGCAAATGTTGTTTCATATATAACACATATGAAAGAGGCATAATAATGCAGAGGTCCCACCATGATGTGGTGTAAAAAAATGCATTATGGGAGAAAAAATGTGGATCGAACGGAGGCTTTAATTAAAAAACAGCCACCCCAATTAAAAGAAAATAATAATAATAAAAAAGACGAGAATAATTCCACAACATGGCTCGTCTATAGGTGGCATACAAGACGAGGATGCTTGGACCAACGGGACTAGAGTTGTCAATGGATTAGATATGGATCGGATCTGTTCAAATTCGATCCGAGAATAATTATCCGATCCGATAATCCAATGAATATTTGATTATTAAATCCATATCCGATTTGTTATGTTATCAAATATCTGATTCGATTATCTGATCCTTCAACCGAAAAAATGGAAACCGACCTCTAAACCGGTCCGATCTTCATTTATTAACCGAACAATATGAAAATTTTTTCCAAAAAATATTTTAATTATCTTGATGGACTCATCTCTTAATATTATACTAGAAGGCTCAAATAATTTTTATTTAAGTGATGCTCCTTTAGCTCATTTTTAAAGGAGTCACCTCTTAGAATGTTTTAGTGATCTTCCAAGGTGGGATATTAGCTTTTTGAAGGATATAATTTTTCTCCAATGTTTTAGTGATCTTTCAATGCGGGATACTAGTCAATTGTCAAGTCTAAGCGTTTACTAGTTTACTTTATTGTTTTCATTAAAAATCATAGCCTCAACAAGATTATAATTACAAATAATATCAATTTGAACAATGTAAATAATTTTGGACATATTAATTGTTAGTTTTTGATGTTATAAAACAAATTATTACAGTTATTCTTATCTTATTGTAATTAATAAAAAAATTAATCTCTTCATATATTTCGATTAACAATATTCTAATATTATTTATTATCTTAAAATTATGTGTAAAGTATAATATAAGTTTCAAAATGGAAAAAAAATTATGCTTAATAAATTATGATATAATAAATAAAATATATTATGTTATTAGAATAAATTGGATCGGATCGACCTATATTCATATTTGCTCCATTTAATTAATGGATTACCAGATTCGGATCTTAATCAGATT